TCACAAGGTGACAGCTGATGCCATCATAGGCCATCACTGTAATTAAAGCGATTAAGCTTCGCTTTGAGGTGCGACGGAAGGGTAACCTTTAGTCCACCAATATGATCCAACAGCAGGCGACAATGTTCGTCCTGACTGTAACACTCCTTGATATCGGAGGCCATTGAGCTCGTCACATGGTAGGCCTTCATAGCTGCCAATGTTGACGACTCAAATTGTTCTTTTTGCACGAGACACACTATCCTGGTGTCTTGCCTCGAAGTCTGGTCTGCACGATAACGCGTCCGCCAAGACATTCGACTTACCCGGCTTATATTCAACTTTAAAATTAAATTCAGAGAAGAATGTTAGCCTTCTCGCCATTCTCGGCGAGAGGTGCGGTGAATTTATAGCGGTCCGCAGTAATGCGTGATCCGTATGAACCACAAAAGGTTCAGTGCTAAAGAGGTGCACACGAAACTTAACAAGAGCATACTCTATTGACAGTATCTCTTTGTCATGCACAGGGTAATTCAGCTCTGCAGCTTTCAAAAGCCGAGACTGATACGATATGACACGGAAGGTATCCCAGCCTTGAGCAGCGACTCGTTTCTTCTTGTCGGTCTCTAAGACGCTCTCGTCCGTTGTGAACGACAAGCAACATTCCACCACGTTCTCTTCTGAAACTAGTGCGACTATCATGTGGATCTTTTATTCGTTTAGTTCGGACAAGAACAGATCCCACGTCATCTCCGAGAGATTTACTATCTCCTCGGCAGATGCCAAGACAAATTGAAGCACCTCAACTGAGGATGCCTCCGGCATTTTGTCTTCGACGGCCTCGAACAACTCGTTCGTAGGTCCTTCCTCTTGGACCGAGACTGATCCAAGGGTCACTCGTTTCGACGTTCCCTTGATCGTCTTAATACGTTTGTTGCTCGTTCTTCGAGTCACCACGAACTTTGACCTGGAAGTGAGTGTCGTTGCTGTTATAGCCAACGCAATGCTTCCAACCGCACCAGGTTCATGGCTCTGTGCCGGTTGCTGTGGCGCTTGACTTCCTGTCAGCCCACCATCACTGCCACAGGCTCTCGGCTCTGTGCAGGACCATTGGACGCATGACTACCTGTCATCGTCCCATTCACTACACCAGTCTTTTCGACCTGGGTAGGAATTAATGTCATTTGACTTTCTGTCAGGACACTCTCAACTACTTCAGGCTCAACGATCTGGGTAGTACCTGGTGTCGATTGACATACCGTCATCGCACCCTCGACTGTGTTGGACACAACATCAGTCACATAAGCCTATCGCTCTGTATATGCTCGTTAGATAACATGCACGACGTGTTTTGCAAGCATCTATGATGTCAATAAGTCAGATCTTAAACGTCTTCTCGGGTGACCTGGCTCAAACGGCTGCAAATAGGGTGCTCCACAAACGCATCAGTTACTGCTTCCAAAGCATCTCGCTGGTTGTGGGTGCGCTTGCCGTCTTGGCGAATGTATTCTAATGCGACGCTTTATCATACATCCCGATTTTTTGTGTTTTTCCGCTACAATGGACACGACATCGAGAGAACATTAAGCGAGGTCATACCTCTCGAGAGTGTCTCGCAGATGCCTGTGTACAGACTCTTCTCAGTGGAAACTCATTCAAACTCACTACGATCCCGTTCATTCTGCACTGTAAACAGCTCCTGTCGATCTAAATAGGCGAGTGGTAGATACTAACCCAATTATATACTTCATCTATCGGTTTGCATGTACTTATCGTCCATAATTTACAAATGGCGTGCAGTGCACAAAGTTGAAGACGTTGCAAATATCCATTACAGATCCAAAAGTAATCTGGACCCGTTGTTTGGTTTGGCAGCTGGTATCATCTTCGCCATGATGCTCGTTCTTTGTCTGAATTTCACTCACATACTCGCTCATCATGACTTTGATTATCATGCGATCGGTTATTCGAACGGACAATACCGTGAAAGTTGTCTAGTAGTTCTATCAGATCGAAAGCAAAGCTGACACGGGCAAAACAATTCGATAAATGGCTCAACGTTGCCACCATTTACTTTAGTGGAGCGAGCGCAGTCTCGTCATTGTCCGCAGACCGTAGGCGAGTACCTTGACGAACGCGTCTGAGATGTGCTCAAGCAGGTGTACATGACCGACAGTAATCTGCGCCGTTGGGTAGACGGACTCGACTTTGAGGTGGCATAAAGCCAGGGAAGACAACCTGTTGGTGGGTCACCATTTGTATAGGTTGCACAGTGCTCGAGAATAGGTGGTGCTGGACGAGTCCACTTTTAAAGTGGACACACGGCCACGGACGTGCTCGTCCAGACAATCAAGGAGATGTTCGAGGACGAGACGGTGCTAATTATCGCACCCCATCAATGCCCTCATGCAGAGTGACAAGTTAAGGGTGGAAAATGATTCTTTATCGGTGCAATTGTAGTCTGTGTTTACGTGAATTGAAAAGTGATCGGTAACTACATATGAGGATAGATGGTCGATCAGTAATGAAAAGACTTTTGCATTGGCAAGAGCTAACGTTCTTCCTCTTTCAAACGCTTTACCAAAAGTGATACATACTTCCTAGCTGGAATATCTGAGTTTGGTGTCACCGATGGTTATCGTGTCGCTCTCGTCCACGATGTCAAAGATCATGTCTCCGATCGTTATTGTCGCTGCTTCGTACAATGAGCCAGCATTGCTAACAATGTCAGAGGTTGAGCTCTTCGAGAGCATCGAACATGGTATCGTCGTTTTGTCGGCGCTTCGCCTCAGTTGTTGTGTTCCCATTGCAGCGTCCGAGTAGAACACAATGGCAACCAGTATGACGCAAGCAAAGAAGGTGGAGTCCATGAAAAACTTGAATTGAGGGTGACGAGGGGGGAAGCTAGAGTTTTGAATAATAAGCTTTGCCACTCGAATCATTTGCCCAGACGACAAGCCGGGGTTGCTTCTATTAGTTGATGGTCTTGGATTGTTTTGGCCCACAATGATACCAGTGTACGAATTTAATTGTTTATATCTGGACAAGCAAAAGATAACAGGCAACAGCCAATGTTAATGATGGTCCCACATGTCAAATCACGATGACCTCTTTACAGCATCTACGATTTAATTGTATTCCTATGCGCCTCATTATCGTCTGTGTTTTGACGTATCTTCTCGTGGATCACGGCCGTAGTCAAAGTCGAGGTCTGACCACTATCGCCTCTAGTTACTTCACATTTTATAGCTAACGGAAGCTATTCAGGAGTCGGTGTACTATCTACCACTGTCGCATTGCAAAGAACCATGCAGCTTACGTTCAGCAAATTTGGGATCGAGGTAGCTGGCACAATGCATCGGCACACACTCACATTTATGTGTCTTGGCTCGCGTAGACCACACGCTCAGAGAACTAGACGTGGGAGGCATCTTAAGAAGTAGTAAACTCAGGTGACTTACTCGCCGGAGGCGAAGTACCCGAAGATTATCACAAGTGCACCACCTTTTTCCTTCCTAAGCAGGTCTCTAATTTATAGCAGTAACAATCTCGGAGAAGGTATTGACGCTTTTTGGTTGATTTTTCGACTGTCAAGTTTGGCGTCAGTCTGCTATCGATTTTGCCTTCATCTTCATCAAGCACCGACGTGACTACAACGACCTCTGCTTGCGTTATCGATTACTCGAATGCGACATCGCAGAGGGAAATGCAATCATACCAATTTGCTGCACAATGCTCCGTTTGTAGATAGCAGTGACTGTTGAAGGTGTAAAACTTTTTTTCACGCGAGTCAGAAGTAGCGGCTGGGTTGCCACTTTATCACTGAGTGAGAATGGTATCAAGCCGTATGATTTTTTCGCTTTCGAGATGCCAGCGGATATCTATCAAAGCAATGTTGACCATAATCATTCGCGTGAAGACCCTGTTGATGTCGTAAATGCCAAACGTAACAATAGAGTAGGCGTAAGAAAGATTATCACCGTGTTGATGACGTAGAACATGTGGAATTCAGCAGCAAAGTCACTTCATTCACCCAAAGCGCTTCCACACACTTAGTCTACAATTTATACCTTGGGTAGAACTTCATGACTTGAATACCTTGCACGCCTTTAGAACCATTTATCGATAATATGGAGCGACTTTTTCGAAATCCACCCATGCGACGTCTCTGTTGTGTAGAAAATGGCTATCACCACTTCCAGAATGACGACGCCACCAAGCGGAGTAGAAGTAAGGTGGGTATTATACCAGGATGCGTAATCTCTACTTCGAGAGCCACGGTTCCTGCATCATTTATAATAACATGTTAGTTGCTCGTGAGTGTCAGCACCTCACCAGCTTAATCGTCTCAATTTCGTACTAAATGCTTTCCACTCTAAGCCACGGGCTCTGTTCTCTGCTCTCTTTGATCACGCACAACGCTCTCCACGTGTCTGCTCTCGTGGCTTAGCTTTTAAGCCACGGTGGCAGACATTTGGATGCGTACGACCACAACTTTGAGCTGTAGCATCCAGCTTTGTAATGAGTATAGCCTCGAACTACTTTGCTGCGTAGCCATTTTGATCTACTCTGCAGTGCCACCATTGTACCTTTGACATGGTAAATGACGTAATAGAGCCACAAGGAAGCTGAAGGTCATCATATCATCATCAGCCAGTTGCTACTATAGGTTTCTTCGTTACGATGAAGACCTTGGATCCGCCTACTGTAGTACAGCCCACCAATATGAACGTGGTCCATCGGGCCAGGATGATAGAAAGCACTGAGGCTTTGCCAGCGAATTCGATGAATGACTCAATTGAGGCGTAAACAGCGCCTTCACTTTACTTCGATCGTTCTGATATCGGTACCGCAGCAAATTGCACTACAACCGACTTACGAGCTTGAAGATATAATGCAGAGACGTAAGAAGACCAGTCGTACAATTGATGGAGACGGCGTGTCTATTGTTGCTCGGGTCTACTATTCTATTGCTTTTCAATCTCTCCAAACTTTTGTTGGAAACTATTCGTGTGAATCTGCTACTTCATCTGGCTCACCAAAACCTTGTACGCTGCTTGAATCTTTTTGCGGTCTCCTGTGGCAACCTGCTCCGCGTATGTACCTGCCAGTTCGGTCGGACAGCCCAGCGACGGCAGGAATACGTCACACATATAAGTCAGGTACTCGACACCCAGAGACGCCACCAGCACTGCCTGCATATTCACAATCTCCTTGACAACCAGCATCGTCTGCATATCATCTAGGTCGAAATGACGCAGCTTGGTTACGGTAAACATGGCACGCGTAAAGTCCTGCACTGCAATCTGCGTGAACCGATTCTTGCCCTCGGTCGATAGCTCGGCGTGGACTTCAGTACGCAGAGCCACAGATGCTGCCGAAGTGGCTGCAGTCTCTGCACCCGACGCCTTGCTTGCCGGAGAAAAGGCGTTTCCGCCAATCCAGCGCTCAACCAGCATGCTGCCAATCGAAAAGCATGCACGGTTGATATTGGCATCTTGAACGTCTGCACAACCCTCCAGTACAAGACGCAACATGTTCTCCAGCTGCGCGACATTTTGTGCGCTGATCAGCACGGCGTCCAAGCCGTGCGTAACCAGGTGCAGCAGGAATGTGTATAGGTATTTCTGCGTAGCTTCGCGTTCGAGCTGTGGGGCGTCCTTAGTCTCATCATGGGCGAGAGCGCTGCGTTCCGGCATCAACGCGCACAAGTGCTGCACAAATGGCAGTGTCGTTTTGTCCAAGAATGTGCCTAGAGCTTGCTTGTGCTTGATAATAAGTTGGTCAATAAGCTGCACGATCTCAACAACCTCAGGCTGCTCACAGCCCATCATAAGCGTCTGCAGTGTTTCCTGCACGTTGCTTAAGAAATGCTCACGGTCCAGCACAGTAGTCAAGCGGTGTAGCAAGAAAATCACCTTTGACCGAACCCGAGGAGAACGGGAGAGCAAGCGCAGTACAAACGCTGAGGCTGTAAGCACCTGTGTAAACGTTTCCTGTTGATTCTCCATGCAGTCTGTGCCCTTGAACGCCTTAAGCACATGAGCAATAGCGTTAATGTGTGAAGCGCAAGTCTCAGTAACGTATTCTTCATCAGTCAGTGTACCCTTTGCCAGCTCATTTAAAGTCGTATTCAATACCCGTAGCAAAGGGTCCAACACGGCAACCGTGTACCGGTATCGAAGCTGCTTTGCGTTCATGCCCATCTCCTGTGCTGGGGACACGAGTGAAGCGATAATCTGACCGGCGAGTTCGAACAGGTACAACTGGTCATCGTAGGCTAAATAGGTTGGATTGTGCTGGCTAGCAAGCTCTTCACGCTCGCTGTCAATCGCGAGGCGCGGCTGCAGCGCGGTCAGAATGCTGGATGCATGAGGATTAACTGCGGCGCCAATAGCCTTCACAAGGCGCAGACACAGGTAGCACACGCGAGAGCGGACACGAGTAGTCGGGTGAGCAAGTCCGTGTGCGCCAAACATCATCTCCAGTACTGCAGGAATCAGCACTGATTCGCTCTGCAGCACTTTACTATACCGCACAGCTAGGTCGTAGTATGAAAGCAGTACAGACGGGTGCAGCGGTGCGGCACTACTGGACGCTGAAAGCATACTGCTGTGTATTTGCACGATCATGAGAGTTAGTCCGCTCGTGGGCTCGTAGAATGGGATAGCCACGGCCTTCAGGGGCGCAAGTCCTTCCTTGAATCGGTACACAAGTGACAGGAAACTCTCTAGATCACGCGGGTCAATCTCAGTAAATTGTCCCGGTAGACTCTGAGCCAAGTTCGTGAGAAAGGCAAGCGTGTCATGCGGTCGCTGGCGAACAATATTGAGAAATATGGTGTACAGACTGCGTCGGTATTCTTCAAACTCCGCAGCATCCGAGTCAGAGTCCTTAGGGAATCGAGTTTGGCGATAAATACCGTGCAAAATCTGTGGAATATACTCCGAGGGTCGGAATACTTCTGCCTCGCTCTGAAACTTGTCAGCCGCCTGCGTCTCTGTTCGAAGCAACGGGCCTCCCACCGCATTTACGATCTCAAAAACTTCTTCAGATACATCTTTTGACTCATGCGCGAAAAGTTCCCATACGAGTGGCATGAGTTGACAAAGTAGAGTAGCGCTAGCCTGTAGCAAGTCGGCCCTGTTTGTATGGCGAAAGGCGTCCATGCAAGTCACGAGCTCCAAGCCAACAATATTAATCACTTCTCCAATTTCTTCCGCAAATTCGTCATCCTCACGAATTGGCAGTGCCGCCAGCATCTCGAGAAACTGTAACTGCTGTAGCATCGCCAATTTCTTCTCCGGCGTCATACCCTTGTCAATCACCTCAAATACACAGTTGGCCGCTTGGCAGCGAAACGTCTCACTCTCACGCAGCAGCTTAATCAATAAAGGCCAGAGCGTATCGTTTACGACAAGGCCGATATCTACCCAACTGATGTATCGTTTAAGCGTCTCGAGAGCACTAGCACTCAACTGGCGCATAACATCACTGGCATCAGCATTTACCAACACACGTGCAATGGCGTCAAAGCTTTCTCGCATACACGATCCTTCGCGCATAGCGTCCTTAATCTTCATATTGTGTGCAGCTTCCTGTTGTGTCCTCTGTGCGTCAAACTCGACAATCTCCTCGTTGATAGCCAGCAAAATGCGAAAGTACATCTCCACAATAGATGCACCTTGCGGCAGCAGTTCCAATAGCTCCATAAAAGCTGTTGGCCAACGGTCCGGGTAATCTCTTTTGATCAGTCGAGTGATCACAACTGCTAGCTTGGTTTTGAGATAAGGTGCTTTACTTTCCATGTAATTCACATGACTCTGTAGCCAAGCCAATAGCTCCACCCGTACAGCCACAGCCACACTATCATCTACTCCATTGACCAGAGCTTCCTGAAGTGCCTGAAGTGCGTAAAACTTGACCTGTTCGTGCTCTGAGCGTTTGAAAAGCTGCAGCTCGGCCTGCCAACCGTCCACTTGGATCTTGACTGCAGTACAAAAGCTCTCAGCCTGCAACTTGATTGTCTGTGCCTGCTGATCATTAATATCGGCCGTAGCGTATTGGAATGCAACAAGAACAGCGCGTTCGAACTCAGCGACATCATCCATGATGGAAACTGATGGACAGGAAGAAAAGGATATTTAATAAGGAAGATACAAGTATTAGAAAGTGTTTAAATATGCATTGTAAAGAGAAGAAAAAGAAGAACAAGATGAATGTAATAGATTATAAGATATCTACCTGGCGAATGTGGTGTAGATCGAGAAGAACAAATAGTCGCTTAATTCAATGCTTGCCACCAATGCCAATGTGTAGGTTGTGTAAACCACCTATTTAAGAATTTGTAGACGTTCTATTTTTGGCTGTGTATTTTTACTTACATGTTGCTGCGACATTTCTCTAATCCTAATCCTGATTCGGTATTACATGTACTGCAAAGTAGGTCGATCCTCTTGTCTGCATTTTTTCATTGCACGATTGAAGCTATAAGGGACTTACAGTACTAGGGACCAATTGTCTGAAGAAGTACGAAACTATGAAAAGATGCATCGGCCTAGCTAAGTTGTATTAGAAAGCGGAACTTGCAGGACGAAGCGAGTACTGCAATTGAATTTAAACTACCTCAAGGCGAAGAAGGTCGCACATGGCGTTGATGTCTGCCACACGGTGTTGCACCTACGAAAATTTGTTTTGAAAAGGGTTACAAAACTGATTTTGTTTAGGGTAAGCACACAACAACAACAAAAATGTCAATAGAAATGAGCAATGATGTTGCATTGATCATTTGAACACGCTGACGACGCACTTACCACAAGTCAACAGACACTAAAAATTATAAGGCCTTCGATGAGTCACGGTACCCTTGCCAGAAGCCAGCAGAGATCGCGAGTCATTAGGGTGACACCATCCTGTATTAACTAAAGCAGAGCTAGTGTAGACGGGCACTTCGAAAGAAGCTGCCACGTACTACGCGGGCACACCTTCAAGCAGCGCGAGGAAGCGGTTATACCGTCTTACCTCCGCGTGCGGTGGTGGTTGCGTTGGTCGGTCGCTTAGAGCGCCAAGCCAAACTGTTGCCGTTCGCATAGAGCGGTCCGCGCAACGAACAATTAAGAAGTACCTTACTTACGTCACGCAAGAGCTTATTAAGCTTCTCGTGCGCAGTGGGTAGTAATTGGAAAATTCATTACTGACTTAAATTTACTAGATTTTGACTAAATATAAACTTAACTACTCATTGGTTCATTATCCAAAGATTGGATACGCGTCTCTTTACAAACGTATCCTTACGTGCGAGCTTAAAATGCATTTAAGCTCGCTTATGACGTGTGTCTGAAGCGTACCATGACGCCCAGTCCCAACTGGCGTCATCCTCGTTGAACGTGAATACATCCATGGATATCACATTCACGAGGGTGGGTCACATTGATGTGCCACACTCATGTGACAAAGACCTAAGGTACCTCGTACCCATTTAGGCCTACCCGTTAAGTATTCGATACTTAACGAACCGTGTACCTTTTAGCCCGTTACAGCTAAATGAACCACATTATCAATCCGAAGCCTTTCAATTCGTACTACCAGGTCGCGCTCGGTGAATACAAGCCTATCTTTGGATGGCTGAAGGGGTTAGCACCAAGCCGTCAGCACGGCCAAGGCACGCATCTTCCGTAAGACGCCAAGATTTTCGTGGTGTAATTTTTAACGGACTCGACCATTTACATGGCATCTATCATTACATACAGTACAACATCGACGACATTGAGACCGAGCAGATGACTAAGGAAGTGTTTTAAAATTATATATCTTTAAATCTCGGCCATCTGAGGAGTCCATGGATGCCTATGGCTGTGCTGTAACAAATCCTCGATGACTGAGTATTAGTACCTTTTTCGTACTCGCGCATCTGATCTAACACTATTTGAAGATGTGCCACGTCAAGATCTATCATATGACACTTCCCAATTCGCGCCTTCGAGCAACAACGGCCAAGAGACGAAGACCTTCAAAGAGCCGGTCAACCGGCCCCCTCCGACCAGGGCGGGAAGTCCCTCCAACGGGAGGCCCAGGATAAGAGGGGGGAGGTTTTTCCCTCTGCTGCGTGCGCTATGGGGGGCAAGCGCAGCGTGCGAACCGTAAGAGGAGCACCAACCCTGTAACCCCCGGGGGGAGAGGATCGACGACCGCGGTTATCATTCCCTCTTTCCTCAATAGTTCCTGCTATTCTACGTCAGCCTTCAAGACGCCGATTCGATCGCTGAGCGCGAATCTCGGTCCCACGAAGTGAACTTGCCAAGAACGTGAATTGATCGGCCCGTCCAGGTGCATCAGCGGTCGATCGGGACTGATCGGTGTGGTGCCCGGCGCTTGTTGCGATCATTGAGCCACTGTTTACACCTCGGGCTGGATACCCGATTCCACGTGCCCTTTTCGGAGTGTCCCCCGTGACGCCCGACGTCTCGAGCCAGCAGATTGAGCCAGCGAGGCGAAGAATGACGAAGTCCTGGTAGAAGCACTCCAGACATCTTACCAATCCTTAATGTTTGAAATAGACGGTCTGTTCTTCTCTCTATCTATCATATGACCTGTCCGTGTGGCCTCGAGGATTTGAGTGGTCACATTCCTTGCAGCGTTATGTGCGATGGTATGGACGATGCGAACTAAGGAAAGGCAAAGTTTTGGCGTTCCGTGTTACGTGTTTTAATCACTTGGAACACAGCAAAAGATGTCTGCTTCTGACCATCCAGAAATGATGGTCAGACATAACGCACTATCCGCGTCCTCGAAAATAATTTTCGAGAAGAAATCCCTTGTTTTTAATTTGATGGAGTTTTGACGATGGCCGAGTTCGCCATCAGAAATTAGGTGCATGCTTCCACGACGCATACGCCCCTCTCGTGAATGGTCATAGACATCCACGTGTCCCCATCGCAGTAGAGGGTGACTATAATTTTAGGAGGGGGCTCGCTCGAGTAAAAACCAATCGGGCTCTTGCTCATCACGCGCCAGTATCATGGTCGACATCAAGCAAACCAAAGTTGTACCATTCGAATTCGGTGAAGAGAAGGAATTAAGAGCGATGACGCTCTTACTGACGACGATGCTGAAGACATCAGCATCGTCTAAGGTATCGCCAGCGAGAACACTGATGCTCTCGCTGAATTAGTAACAAAAATCGCTGCAGTGCATTATTCATCGCCTAGATTGCGACCACAAGAATATGATGGCATTTTTTAGGGTGGCGGTTTTTTTCACCGTTCGAAAAAGCCGAATACTGAACATACGGACGAAGATTTTCCACGTACAACGTAGGATGCGTAAGAATCTTACGTTGCAGCTCAATTGCGTATGCGTTGACTAGGCGACGCAATATACAAAATGGGCCGATGTCCTTGGGCAACAATTTATTGCTGTCCAATTAGTTACTGCAGGTTTAGGTAGACTTACTGGTGACTAAAACTTAATTCATCTTTCATATAAGAATGAACCTCTGCCCTTCCATTATTGTCTCAGAGAGACATTATATTCTAGCCTTTCTTGACAATTGATGCAACTTATAACGTGTACCGGTTGTATTATTCGTGTCAGGCCAAATGTCTGGAGGTGGTGGTCAAGACCCTGTCGGGCAAGTCACTTACTTTTGCTTGCACGTCTGATGATAAGGTGAACTACGTCAAGTCCTAAATTTGATTAAAGCGCACGTATCAGTTGATGACCAGCATATCATTGTACAGAAGTAAACATTTTGAGGACCCCGAAAGAGCAAGTTCGTCTATTTATGCATCGCGTCCAACACATTCCACGTTGTGAATGAAGCGTACTAGGCTTGAAGCAGCGCGTAGCCATAACAATTGTGATTTGCGCTGTACCATCGATGTTTGAAGAAACATCTATGTAAATCATATGCTTAGTGCGATAATTAATCGCACAGACGTCAAGATCGTAAAGCCTTGACGATTCGGATATGACATGTCGATAACAATCGCCAACTAATCAAGGCCAGCGATCAATTAGATACTGTGGCATCATCTGCAATTGGTGCTCAGGGGTGACACATACGACACCACTGTGTCTGTTATCCTGCATGATGTGAACAGAAGCACTGACATTGTGGTTAAGTAGATGGGACAAATTTGCATGTAACAATTCTCATGACAAAATTGGAGCCGATTTTCGGAACTTTGTCATAACTATAGGGACATGACAATGGTTGGATCCCTGTCTTTTCAATGATGGGATCCTTTTCCCGCCAATGGTCGGTCTTTGTCTCGATAAAGTTAAACATCAAAATGACTGATGGGGTGTGGTGAAGTCGATTAAGAATTATGTGAAGATCGAATGGAGAAGTACTGTTGATTTAAGATCATTTTCTTGATTGGTTAATAAGCCACAAAAGATTGATGTAGAAGGTATCAACAGTTTCAAAGTGGTTGAAAATATGGATCAATTACATGACATGAATTGTATTTTTTCTAATTTTATACTTGAATTCGTATGGGTTGATCCGATTTCCATGCAAGTATTGATCAGATCACATCTAATAGATTTTGTCCAAGTCGAGATCACGGTTGTATTTATGGTTTACTAAGATGTTGATTGGTACTGGTTGCATAATTCTTTCGGCCACCAGCTCGCAACTGCATTCATATAATCATTCGATCATAATTGTGATCAGACGGTAACTAGATCGTGATCTTGATAATATGGAAGCTCATTTGTAATCCGTGTTCATATGGATATTTGATCGTATTTGTGGTAAAGAGACTATCTGTAGGTAATTGTGATCAAAGATAATCCGATCAGGGTGGTGACTAAAGACAAGTCTATCAAGATCGTGATCAAAGACAAGTTGAATAAAATTAACAGATAATGCGATCAAGATTGTGACCAAAATTAATGCGATCAAGATTGTGACCAAAATTAATGCGATCAAGATTGTGACCAAAATTAATGCGATCAAGATTGTGACCAAAATTAATGCGATCAAGATCGTGATCGGGGACAAGTCGATCAAGATCGCAGGATCGAGATCGCGGCTGCTGAATTGGACCACACATCGAGAATTTTTTTTAAAAAGAAGACACGTAGCAATATATCGTGGCCTACA